CGTCTAATATTAAAACTCAAAACGTTCATTGCATTAGTTACACGCAGTAAGACTCACATCAGGAAATAAAGTACGCTGTAGGCATTATTGTGAGGAGTAAAAGCTGTCCCTGTGCTTAACTAATTAAGCACGGGGCGGATGTATAGATCCACGTTTTCTTGACCTCGACATTAGATGGAGTTGAGTGGTCAGCTTCACCCCCCAGTCTCTTTACCCTTGGGGGAAAGAGCCCCGGTACTCATTATATGTGGTGGGGTGGACCCCAAGCCGGTCTGGAAGACGTGGAGGGCAGAAAATTCTTGATCCCACAGGGACTGGAACTCCGACCCCTCGGTCGTCCAGCCCGTAGCTAGTCACTATACCGACTGAGCAATCTAGGCTCTTCTTGTGAGGAGTAGCTGTTTAAATTCGAGAACTGTGTATGCTGTACTAATACTGCAAACATACATTTTAACTAACCCAGTGTACTTGTCACATGACTTTCATTATTCCAAAAACACGGTTAAACACAGCATCCCCTTCTGAAAGCATTGGTTAATGTGGATAATGAGCTGTGATACAAATAACAGAGTTCCACAAATACCGAAGTTTGGTCAGTACACTATGGATGATTAACGATAATTTCTTGGTGTAGACATGAAATCGTATGGCGCGCGTTCAAGGCATAAACTAGGCAGAGAGGAGACGATACTCTGCTTAGACCAAGTATTGAGCTTCTATAAATATGATCCCATATTGAATTCTTCTCCATACAAAGAACTAAAAGGAGAAGGGGTCACGTGTCACCAAATTCATACACAACATTAGTATACGACTCCCCCTTCTATAAAACTTCAACTTACAAATTTTTGCGTTTAAGAATTTAAAAAAAAATCTGCTTTTCGCTCTGCGTAATGAATTTTCTCTACAACGAAAACATGCCAAGCCATCTTTATGTTCGCAGCCATGCCCACATTTCCTCCCCCGTCATACAATCGGCCGCCCACACGTCTTTGCTCCGTGATCTGTACTAGGCACATCAGCAGCTGTTTCTTGCCAGACTTATCGCAATAGTCTCCATTCTATCACAATTTCCAAATGCTCATTTATTAGAATTCGTTACAATAATTGAGCCTACATAAATAAAACGTGTCCTGTGGAGTGTATTTATTTATGTAACTGTTATTTATGTATTGTCTGTGGATGTATGCGAACTATCTATCATTCAACATATTCTGACCTAGCCTCCATATTTCCATACTTAGATACAGTCTCCTGCAACCACAAACTTGTTGAACCGAGTGACGAACCTTCTGGTTCCACAGCAACAGCTCTCTCTCTCTGTCAACTCTATCAAGGATTCCGAGATCTTACTTACATCATCCACTCCATTTTCAAACATCATGTTTCAGGTTAATTTACCATCTATGTTACTATGAATCACATGAAGCGCTTAAATTTCTTGGTAGTGTACATAACATTCAATGTGCGCCGTGCTAGTTGCCGGTTTCTCACCGCGGAAGTCCAAGTTCATTCCCAGGGTAATCTATGTAGAATTTGTGGTGGACCGAATGTCACTGAGGCAGAATTTTTTCAAGTTATTTTCGTTCTCTCCTATAAAGTACAATTTAACCAATAATCCATCCCTTTATCTGCCATCCGGGGTTGATACAATTGGCTCATCTTGGGCCCAAGTACCAAGAGATTCACTCAGACCCTACCGCAAGAATAAAAGAAACGTTCGATGTGTTAAATTGCACGTGTAACATGGGTCACTGGCCTGTAAGGAAAACTTCATGTCTAGTACTGAATTTTGATGTTCACACCTGTCGACTAATAAGCTGCGTAATGAATGAAGCAATTTCCTGGAGTGAACAGTATACAATTTGTTTAAAGGAATCAAAAATTCATAGCGCAGGACCTCCGTGGCTGTGTACTTACCTAAGTTAATATAACGCAGACTTCTAACTATACTTGTTCAGTGTTTTCATATGGTGGTCACCTATTCTACCTGACGATACCGCACTCTTTTTGTTGCGTTATGTACCGCACGTTTTCCATTTCGATTTGTTAACGCGCCTCAATTCTGCACAAGGAGAATACAGCTTTGATGCACAGCAAATGGGGAATGCAGGACGTAATGTACGGAGGTTCAGTAACTAGAAGGGCCATTTTCGCTCTATTCTCTAATTAGTAAGCCAATAACAGACAATTTGCGCATTTTCCTTGTAATACAAAGTAAGATGCAAAAATTCGTACTACCAATAATTGTAGTAATGCTAATACATGCCTATATACTTCGGCCTATTTATAATCTTGCAGTTCTTAAATCATTTCAGTGTTTCTAGTGCCTCCTGATGCGGTGTATGTTGACGTTTCAGACCTACAGACACTCGCGCAGAATCTATTTCTGTGGTGGGGGCACCCATACAGATAATATCGTAATATTTAAAATGGATCGACCTTAACATGTGGAGGACTATCGAGTGCAAAAGTAAATACCACGATGATTCAAAGATTCTTGTCAAACTGTGAACGTTATCATCCAGCATCTGGTCTTCGATCTCCTCGGAGCGAATATGTAGGCCGTAACGTAAACGATACGTGGCTCAGACATCCTCCTAAGATACTTCGAGAGCTTTGGGAGAACGCGTCTGATATAACCCTTTCCCACAGCAACGCTCGTTATGCTAAGCGTTTTCACAAATGTGTCTCGGAAACTGATCCATATGTTCAATGCCGCTTAGAAAAATTTCAGCGCCCATATTCATATTGTTTAAAAAAATCTAGGGGAATCATTGTTTAATTTGTACTTTTACTCTGTTTCCATTTGTGTCTTAATGCTTTCAAAGTAGTGAATTACCTGTGAGACTGTTTTTTCTCCGGTACCGTCTAAACGAAAATATCGCTTCCAAAATTTACCACAGCAAATGACCTACTTTTAAAATATGTCTCAAAGAACGAGACAAAAAACACTATTCGGGAACATGTTAAAGGGACTTAGAACATACGAGTGCATTATTCATGCATCTATGGATACATTTTGGAATCTTTTGTGTAACAAGAAGAAAACGTAAATAAAAAGACTTCCCAAGGAATTATAAACGAAAAAGAAACCGAGTTTTGAGAAATGAGAACGTATTTATTTCCTATGTTAATCCTACTTCCAGAGATATGCCTGCAAGGGGTCAATTTCAATATGGCTGGCAGCCACAGCAAGGGGTCCTGTTTTTAGTTCGTGGCGCCGACATCCCGCCGCGCCACGAGATGCGCAGATCATCATGAGCAGTGCAGAACAATGGCGGCTCTAATCAAGACTCTTTTATTATAATTCTTTGTTGATCGCCCACGGGTTTCTATTTCATTTTCAAAAGCATATAGAGAAAAGGAGCAAGAAGAGAAGAGACAAAAGCCAGAGAAACGAGGAATGAGTAAATGTGGAAAGAAACTTGGAAGACAAAATAATATTAGTTAAAAGAACAGTCGCTGGTGAATAAACGAAATGACAGTCTCAAGAGCATTCGTTGTTGGACTCGAAGTTTTATGGCATTATTTTGGGGGTAGAAATTTCTTCTACAATTGCGTAGTAAGACTCGCCCATAGTTGCTCTCCTTCTGCTACACATTAGTTATGCCCTTGGCTAATATAGTGCATCTATGTACACAGTACAAAACTTCAAATAGCCGCCCTGTAAAATTCTGGTTTCTTTCTGAGTTGCGTCCACACCATTCCAAGGGCGAAAATTGTTTAACGACCGCATTAGATCAATGGCATGCTTCAAGACGGTCTAGGTCTACAAAGCTTAATGTTACAAGCTACCATTTCAACATGAACCCCTACCTCTGCACATCTACATCAGTCAAATGGGACCAAGCCTGAGGTAATGCTAGTGGAGTGGGACTAAGTCCCTTATACTGAGGCCACTTCTGGCGTATTGTACCAGCCCCAGATGACAGGTGAGGGTGATTGTGGAGCAATTGGTGGAATTAAGATTGGCAGGGGAAACCGAAGTACTTCGAGAAAAACCTACCCGAGCGCAACTTTGCCTACCACAAATCCCACCTGAACAGACCCCCGGGATCGAACCCGGGACGCCGCGATGGGAAGCCAACGACTAACCGCTTGAGTTATGGCGCGGCCTGAAGTAACTCACACTCATTCTGAAGTTGAATAAGTAAGGCAGATTGGACGTTTCTCCAATAAATATAACTTTCGAATTATATAAACCATTCAATAGGCCTGTGCAAAAAGACAAATCTGCCTTAAGTCACGCAAAAGGAAAGGAATCTTGTTGCGATTTGCACTGACGTTCAGTATATATTGTTCAAACACAATTTCAGATTTTCCAAGGGCAACTGGAAGATGATAACTGGATCGTGCCGTGAAATGACCGTACAGAGACGAATGGGCACAGTCTCACGAGCAGTAGGCGTAGATCTGTTTCCGGTGGGATGGTAGCACCACGCTGACGTTATCTCCTTACGACCTCTTTTAAGTACTAGTTGAAGGATTAGTTCTGTGGATATAATTCTGCTACAATTAAAGTTAAATAAACTACTATAAACAAGGTTTCTTTCCATCCTCTACATAGTTATGCGGTATATTTGCAAACAGATTAATAAGATAATAATTGTGTTAAGAATTTATAGCCCTATTGTTTTCATATTAAACCAGTAAAAGGAATTTTACGAAATAACATACAACAATGTACAATGATTTACTGTGTATTCATTTACAAATGGAGAATGTTTAAGGGATCTGTGTGTATTGGAATAACTGTTAAAAACTAAGTACACTTTTCCAGTTACGAATATCAATACGCCATTTCATATATATACTTATTTTTTGAGAAATGGAATAATTTTCACAGGAAATGAGCTCAGAGCGCTTTGAACAGTGAGTGGTTATTTTTTGTTTTCGTGTCAATGTTAACCTACAGCTCTCCATACAATGCAATTCCAGAACGTTCCTGAAAGCAACCCTGCAGAGCTGAATGAGTTAAGTATGATATGAATACTCACCAGAGGAGAAGTTTGCAATAGGGACGTTCTTGGTGATGGTTTCGGCCATGTCCGGACTGTTCAGACCGTATATGCTAAGTAATTCTTTCATCGTATTCTCTGCATACTCCTTCATGGCAGAGGCATCCGTGCCCTGATGATGAGGATGATGATGATGGTGATAATGATGAAGTTGCTCTGCAGTCAGGCCGGGAGGGAAATGGTGATGAAAGCCCAAAGACTGCGCAGCATGCTGGAGACTGCTCAGAGGCGAGCACTGCTGTCGAGAGTCACTGCCTCGATGCTGTGAATTTGGAGAATAACTTATTCTATCTCCAGATAATGTCTGCTGATTGTGATGATTATTTAAGTGATGATAACTTGTACCATTACTATCAATATAATGTCTTTGATGATAAAGTCTTTCATTTGCTAAAACGTGGCCTTCAGTCGGATTTGTATTATTTAAGATATGCAAGACACTTCGGTGGTGGTGTCGATTTTCACCCCTAGTTTCGCTAGCTTGATCGTCACCACCACCGGAACCGGAATCACTGTTATTTTGTTCGTCGCCCTCTTCCCCACACGATTCGTCGTTGTTTTCACTGTGGACGCTGCGAGTGTAACTCAGATCCATCGGCGCACCCATCACAAGACCGGAAGACACATTTGACTGATTCAAACGCCTCTGAGGCGCTATCACTGGCTTTCGTCTCCTTTTACCGCTAGTATTTGAATTTATTTGAAGCTGGGGTGATGAGGGTGGAACAGAATTTTCACTAAGATCTAAAGGTTTATGCAACACCCTGTCGTTATCTTCTTCATTTTCATCTACTTCCATGTCTAGGTCACTATCGCATTCATCGCCACCGTCTGCCTGACATGTCTTGTCGCCAGCGTCATTATCTTCACCTGTGTATAAAGAAATATTACGGGGTTCAAAGTTTTTACGTTTGTTCCTCTTAGGTGGTTGATTTAAAATGATAGCCGTTGATGACGTAACAGTCGTTGTTGCCATGGTGATATCTGAACTAGTATTATCCTCACTTACACAATTTATAACTTCTGAATCATTCTCATTCTCATCTTCCTCAGTTTCTAAATCCGACATTTCCTCGTCATAATCTTGTCCCATCATGGCCTCATAATTACTTCGTTCTTCAGTTGTAGAAAACTCATCCTGTTTATCAGCAGAGGTAACTGAGTCGCCATCGTCGTCACCATTTTGTTGATGGTGTACAGATGTTGACAACATGGCGTCCACTGTACGACCTAGAACACAAAGAAACAGCTTAAATTAATAGAGAATAATTACTCCTGCTGCAGGTACGAACGGATGTGGATTGAAGACTGTATATTAGGATCATAAAATGAATGATTAAATAAGTGAGTCCATACAATTTGTAAAGCTGTTCCTAGTGTTTAATTAAGAAGCACACCACTATGATGCATGGGCCGTGGAGAAACCAGTATATGCATTCTTAGCCTCGGCATTAGATGGAGGTTAGCCACCAGCTTCCCGTCAAGGCCGTATTACTCCAGAGAGTCCCGTATACCAACTGTGGGACCCAAAGCCGGTCTGGATAGGATGGTGAGATGCAAAAGTCATGACGTTGTTGGGAACCGACCTAAGGCCGCTCAGCCCGTAATTATTTCAGAATAATAAACGAGCTACCCCAGTCTTTAAGTGGGATATCCTGATATGAACAGACATCCACAAAAAGAATACGTATTAAAACTAGTTTCATAATTATTTCGGCGTTAAATTTAATAATCAATTGCAATTTATTTCACGCGAATGTCTCTGTCCATAATTTTAGAAAATGAAAAGCGTGTGTTATTATAGTTACGGGAACTCTGAGAATGAAGTAAAACGCTAACTTCAAGAGTAACCTGAGAGCCCGAATATAAAACACCGCCTTAAACCATTCTTGCTCCCCTTATAACAATCGCCCATTTGTTATATCACCACGATCACGAAATGAAGTGCAGTGCAAAGTTTGAGGCTGAAGAAGAAATTCAATTCTCCGGGCAGATGGGAGTGTAAGTCTAGCATTAAGCTGTAGAGTTCATTAGGAAAGGTGACATTTGAAATCGCGCTTGGTGTGTGGCCAAACAACATGTCGGGCATGGCATGCTTCCTGTTTTCACAGTAGCACCACTCACACACACACACACACACACACACACACACACACACACACACACACACACACACACACACTCCTCTCCTCTCAGTTATGCTCCAAAGAAGAAGGAGTGAAATACTTAGAAGTTTTTTTTTAGTTTCCTTCAGAAATGATGAGCACTGTCTTGTCTTTCTGTCGTCCTCCAGCCTATCTCAAAGGACTTTCTATGCAGACTTCCAGCATTTTTCTGTTTAATTTACATTACAGTAACAGAAAATATTATGAACGTGATGCTGCCTGTTAGAGTTAAGGCAGGAATCAGCATCGGGTCGTATCGGCGACAGTGACTGTCTTTGTTCCTTGGGCAAAAACTTTCATTATAGTCAAGCAGTAAGCGCCAAAAGTTTATATAGAATACAAACCAATAACTGGATCATTAAAATGTACGCGTAGAACTCGAATAGAAGGACGAATGTCTCAAGTCTGCAAAAGCAAAAGGGTGTCGTATCGTAATTGTTAATGGCATATGTTTACAAAGCAATCGATGCAATGCATCAGTCGTAATGTTGTGCTCTGAGTAGGCGCTATGTTAAAGATGGGTTTCCCCGTGCCATAACAGGAAACCTTTCGGGCGAAGGACGAAAGACCAAAACCTTCAACATTCTATACTTCGGAACTAGACTGACATGAATGATCAGTTTCACGTTCCGTCCACATCGATACTTACTGTTTTAGAGTCCCGCCGGTTTTGACTGTCCGCATCCCAGAATGGACGTTAAAGGACAACATGAAGAACGGGGCCAGAATACAGCGCTGTGACCAAATGTTTATTTGGGCATCCACCGGCGATGCGTGCGGTCTAAGCTCAAGATGTCAGAGTGCAAACTGAAGCACAGTTTGGGACAGTGCGGTAGGGAAACACAACTCGCAAGTCTTCCAAGTGACAACGTGCAATAGTAAGTGACTGTCGGCCCTGAAGTCATCATCAAATTCTGGAGAAACTGTATGACGCTTAAATTGGTACCACAACCGAACCAAATGAAACGGCAACGCGAAAAATCGGCACCTTTGCAGGATACCGACCCAGACCATCAGGCTCACAGCCAGTCAGTTTATTCCATGTGGGATTTAATAATCTTCTAGTCTGTGCAGTCATAGTTTTACGTAGCGTTTTAAAGAGCCAAGCTCACCTAAATGGAGTATCAAAGTGCGTTCCTACTTACACGAATATTCTATAGTTGGTCAGTAACATTCAGTGAAACCAGTTTTCGTTGTGATAAAAAGCAAATCCATGTATACACTCTGAAATGTACTGCAAAAAAAATTAAAGTACGTAGTAAAGTACGTGGCGATCACAGTGGCCGCGCCGTCTAAGGCCTGAACTGTCTTCACTCGATCGAACACTGGGATTGTGGGTTCGACTCAAGAACCATCCGGACGCAAAATCTGCATCCCTCTTATATGTGTAATAAATTATGTAAATACTACGCTTAAAGTGTTCAAAAAGTATAAGCTGTGTGTCATAAAGGGTGATACCCAACTTAATAAGCAAGTGTAACCAACTGTTTCCAAGGCATTCCTAAGCGAGACCCTGCCAAATGACCTTGAGAACAGAATCTTAGTTCTACAGAAGAACTAGCTACCCAACCAGCATCCCCTTATCAATCCTTCAACCTTATCATAAACTGTAAACTGATAGTAGTAGTTTACTGGCGCCCAAACTAAACACATTATCCTAAAGATCAGAGGTGTGTGAGTATGATAAGTGGAGCAGGGTAAAGCCAGCTATAGCCGCCGCCACCAGTAGAAGCCCAGCAGCCAGCGGCCGGTGACGACAGTCAATGTAAGTGGACAGACCAAGTCGACGGAGAAAGAGATTGGCCATACGTAAAAAAAAGGTAGTAAAAAAAGCGATCAACATGTGGGGCCTGAAGTTTCAGCGAAACGGTTATAATTCATTGTATTAATTAAGAGGGACTTAATTCACCTGACTCAGGATGTGAAATTTAAGGATTCTAATACAAGCGGTAATATATTTCAGGTTCCATATAAGAGGTAATATTTCCTGACTGCCTACATAACTACTGACTTGCTAAGGAAGACCCCTTCCTTCAATACATCCCAAGTTTTAAACCCGTTTCATGCATTATTTAACCAAAACAATAAACGGAAATACCTTATGCAGATATTGTATCTGACATTGTAAAGTTCAGGCCGAACTCAAAGAAACCATATTACGAGAAATACGTATTCAGTTCAAGTAAAGATTTATTCTTCAAGAGCTGTGTCCGTCTTATAGGAAGCATTAATTCTCCCTTAATAATGAAGAATATTACTTTTAAAGAACTTTTAATTGGTTACGAGATTAATGAGAGAAAACAGATAATCGACTACCAGCTTCTATAAGTGAAAGGCATAGATGTTACATCGGTTCTTCGCATGAAGCGAAGAAGTAGAAAACATGAACGAATCATGAATTAATATTCCCTTTGTCTAAATACACAGGTAAGGTAAGGTAAAGCTGTCCCTGTACTTAACTAAGCACTACGCCATGAAGGTGTATGGGGGAGTGCATGTTTAGATCTACATTTTGACCTCGGCACTAGTTGGAGGTGTGTTGTCAGCTTCATGACCCGGCTGCTTTGCCCCACGTGAAAGAGCCACCAGTACCCATTGGATAGGAGTTTCGGTGGACCCCAGAGCCGGTCTGGACGACGAGGAGAAAATTCTTGACCCTACTGGGACTTGAACTCCGATCTTTCGGTCGTCCAGCCCGTAGCCAGTCGCTATACCGACTACGCTATCCCAGCTCCCTAAATATACAGATAAAAGCATTAGAAAAAATTACAGGATGTAACGATACAAACAAAAATCATCTGGACATATTTAACAAATTTGTTTTTGAAGTAAATATATTTCCAGCCTTCATTTAAGGCAATCACTGGATCCACAATGAATATACTAATACCGGACAAATTATACTCAAACAAGCACAGAAGTTAGTCTGTGTAGTGTGTTTCAAATCGGTAAAATTTCAAAGCCTTTTTCACATGGCAACATAGATCTTTTGAAATGACGCAGAAAGGTTTACCAGTCTTCATGATGGATTGAAATTCGAGGAACGAACAGAAGAAATAAAAGAACAGAAGGTACTTTGTGCATGTTCTGCATTACGCTGGATTGAAACTCGTTGACAAGTAACGATACAGGCAAGAAAGAAAAATAAAACATCTAAAAGCAGGCTAAAACAAACTGCTTACTGCAGGAATCGCGCGCACACACGCATGTATAGAAAATGTTCTACAAAATTCAGTTCCACTAATATTAAGAGTAATTAGGACGGACCGGTATATTCGTACAGTTCTGAACTCTGGCGCTACATAGTCTCCAGTATTGCTACCGTCTGTACGATGCGTTTATTGTTAACATTTTCGAGTCCACATGACAGCACTTCCACTGTATTGTGACGAGTATACTCACTGCTAGCCCAGGGGTCGGTAAACATATTCCCGCAACACAAGCGCTCAACAATGACATCANGACAGCACTTCCACTGTATTGTGACGAGTATACTCACTGCTAGCCCGCAACACAAGCGCTCAACAATGACATCCATTGCTAGGCAACAGACCACCGAACATTCTGAACAATAGTAGACGGTGTTTTCCTTGGAGTCCGCGCAAAGTGGTTGAAAGAAGTGTTCGGTAGGATAGCAGCAGTATAAACAGAGTAGTTTTGGAGTATACAACAGTAATCGAAAGCAGTCGAGAAGAACTGAGTCCAGTTTTCGGAATTGGCAGCTGAAGAAATGGCAACAAGACTTCATGTGTGCCTTGAAGTTACAGTGAGACTGTGATAAAGCTCTGAGTCCCGACCGCGTGAATGTATAAGGTGCAATAAATCTAAAATCCATCTTATAAGTCGCCCTTATAAGTAATAGTATGTTCGGTTGCTACAGATAAGTCTACTGCGATCCACTCTTTTGTTGTAAGGCCCGACGATACAATTATTTCAAGTACGCGACTATAACTTAGAACAGGTTGTTACTCTCAGTCATTTTAACCGATATGTGCTATGCCTGAAGGGTTGGATGTGAAATGCAAATGGTTATCGGCCTGAATACGGAGCACCCTGGTATTTCCC